GTATTTTCATCAACCATATCAGGTCTACTTAATTTTTTGCCCATTGTTAATAAAAGAGCAATAATGCAGCAAGTTTTGGGTGTTTGTTTTGTCTTTTTTTGTATCTCACTTGGATTTTCATATGCGTGTAAAATTAGGGAGCAGAGAGCTGAAGGCTGAAGTAGGGGTAGAAGGCAGTTCAACATCTACTTGGCAGGTGGACCATTTCAAGGCTGATGGTGGCTGAGGCCCATTCCCTGGGCTGAGGTGAGTGGAGCCCAGGGTACCAACACTAAAATAAGTCAGGAGCTTTGTTCCCTAAAACACCAGCTCTGAGGCTCATAGGGGCTCCGTCTAGGCTGTGGGGAGCAGAGGGAAGAGATGGAAACAGAAGTACCCTGGATTTGGTCTGAGGTTGGCCGCCTCCTGGGTGTGCCTCTGTGTGGTGTGCAGTTGTTCCAGGGAGTCTGGGACGCCCCCCAACCTGGCTGTCTACACAATTGTGCTAATGCCACTGGGTTTTGCCTTGCTGCTGGTAGGGGGTGGAGGGGCGGGCGGCTGCCCATGGTAGTGCGCTGCGTGCCCTGCCTGGGCCGAGGGCAGTGGCGGATGGCCATGAGCGTGGGCCCCGTAGGGTAGGTGTCCCCCATGGGGGCCGTGGTGGTACTGGTGTGTATGCTGGATATGTTGAGGGGGGTGGTAGTGGTGGTGGTGATGGTAGGGGGGTGGGTTCTGCTGCATGTGGCAGTATGGGGTGTGATGCCCATGCACCTGGGCCTGCATCTGGCCCTCTGAGGGCCCCTGATGATGCCCAGCTGAAGAGTGCTGCAGGTGGGGCAGGATCGGTGGGTGAGGTGGCGGCTGGGGAGGGGCCGGGGGCAGGTGGGCCTGGGGAGTGGGCTTCCCTCTCTTACTACCAAATAAGGAGCCCAGAAGGGAAGATGAATTAGGCATAGTCTGGTGTGGGCGAGATGGACACTCTTGTGTTGATGTAGCTCTCCGGCGCATGTGAGGACTGCTAATGATGGACCCCTAAAAAGGAAATTCATAGAAATCAAAATTAAAAGATCTTAAAGTACTTAGGTCAGAATGATTTTTTTAAAAATGTAAAAAGTTCACCCACTGACTTCTAAGCCTTAGTTCAACTCACTGGCCTCAGCAGGGCTGGGTGAAGCTAGTTCAGGCCCCACCTGCTCTCATGCTAACTGGCAGGACAGCTGGGGAAGAGGGAGGTGGCAGGACCTTGAGAAGCAGTCTTCTAGTGACCAAAGCAGGGGGCAGGGGAAAGGGCACTCTCCTTTCTGTTCAGAAGTGGCAGACTTCTGTTCTTTTTCCAACAAGCGTTTTGTAACTGGAAGCCTGCCTGGGGTTTCAGATCCAAATGACTGAATGGGGGGTGTCTGTGAGTTGCTTGTGGTGAGTGAAGTGGAGAAGGGCTGGTGCACATGAAAAAGGAACCCAGAGCCTGCTGAACCTGCATCCTGACCTCTCCTGAGTCCTCTTAACTGTCTCAGAGGCATCTGTGCAGCCTGTCTGAGTCCCATGGCTTCTGGGATGGTGGTGCTGGGGACAGGTGGGATTCAGGGAACCTTGTCCTTTGGGTGGGCACTGCCTAGGCATTCACTGCAGCTACCTACTGCAAACCAAACAAGGAAAAAGAAGGAAACAGAAAATGATCTGCAAGATGAGGTTAAGATATGAACAGTAATATAGAGATGGTTTGAGGATGAATGAAATCTCATGAAATCCACACTGAATTTTTCTCTCTTCAGGCTTTCCTCCTCCCACGAGCTAGCTAAGCAATTCCATGGTGTCATGACTGCAGACACACAGCAAATGAAACTCCAGAAAGGAAGCGATGGGGATGGCGGAGCATGGAAGTTAAGAGTTCAGCAAAAACATCCAACAGCAAGAGTGGTGGGTGAGTGGGGTGCCACAGTGACTGGAGCCTGCCCACCTGCAGCAGTGGTGGCCTGGGGGCTGGAGGGAGGGTGCAGGGGAGTGTCAGGAAGCCGGGATGGTTAACCATGCTCAGGGACCACAACGGAATGGGGTTAAGTGGAAACTAAAACACACAAACCAGAACCACCCCCCACCATTCAGTTGGAAACAAGCTGGTGAGAGGCACAGGTGTTTCTAGGCATAGAGGGGAAAAAGCCAGCATGCACCAAACTAAGGCAGGCAGGGAGGGGGAGGGCACATGTCTATGCCTGCTTCTGTGTGTGGCAGGGGGGGAGGAGCAGCAAAAAATGAAAATAAAAAGAACAACAGATATAAACCAAGGGTTGGGGAGGCAATACACGATAGCCAGCTGGACATAGGCGCTTCCTACTTACTTCCACATTGCTCTCTAGCGATCCCGCACTGCTGCGACGCCCTCGCTTCCCTGCCCAGAACATGCAATACCAGAGGTTAGACACGGACACGAGACTGGGGAGCCGCTGCCTCCCTGGCGCTGAGCTGATGCCGCCGCTGCTACAGAGCCTGGCATCACTACTGGGGAGCAACGGTGGGAACTTAACTAGGTTGCAGGCTCAGGTACCGGGGCCTACCTGCCTGTAAGTGCCAGGAGTGGGTGGGTTGGAGGAGGAGGTTCAGTAGGGAAGGAGACAGCAGTGCAGTAACAAGTTTTTTTTTTTTTTTTTTTTTAAAAAAAAGACAATAGATTTTTTAAAAAGGAAAAATAAAAAAAATTTTAAACCAGCCCCAGCTTTATACCCTTTCCCCTGGAGATAGTGGTCTGTGGGGAAGGGCTTATTGGTGGGCTGAGGCTTGTGTACAGCTGAGGCCCATCGTCAAACATGAAAGTCTGTTCACCTCCTACTGCTGGTGCCAGGCTCACCTCAGTTACTGCTGACAGGGGCAGGTAGCATGAGGGCAGCTCTCCAATAATTTAAAAAAAAAAAAGAAACAAGTGACTCTCAACAGCCCTTTTAGTGGATTCTATACACACACACACACACACACATATACACACACACATATATATATACATACATACACACATACACATATATTGTCTTTTTTGGAAAGGTGGGGGGTTTAATGGTTAAGACAAAACCAAATTTCACGTTCTTTTTCTCTTGGACCGCTCATATGTGCAGCTGCCTCTGGGGGCAGAGTGTTTGGTTTGTGTAGTGTCAGGGCTAATGGAGAACATCCTCCCAGGCCAGGGCCCCAAAGCCCTGCTTCTTCTCTGTCAGCACCATTCCTCAACCCAAAAAACCAAACCTGCTGCCTTCGAATCAATTCCAACTTATGGCAACCCTACAGAATAGTACAGAACTACAGAACTGCCCCCTAGGGTTTCCAAGGCTGTAAATCTTGACAGAAGCAGACTGTCTTATCTTTCTCTTGCAGAACCGCTGGTGAGTTTGAACTGCTGACCTTTTGGTTAGCAGCCAAACGGTTTAACCCCTATGCCACCAAAGTCACTCCCCAGGATGCTGCAAAGCCCTCTGTATACCGCGAGGTCTCATTGCTGATGTCTTCCTCAGACCCCAGTGCATAGTGCACTACGTGTGTCTACATCCAAGCACGGCCAAGTCTTCCTCTTGGTTTGGATGCCCGGGAACACCTGTGGCCTCCACATCTCTTTGAAGGATTTCTCCATGGATTTCTTCAGAACATAGAACTTGCCACAATGTGGGTGTCCGACCTTAGGGGCCTGGTATTTATCCAGCTTTAAGACTGAGGATGGGACGAGGGGGCAGAGAATGGCCCTGCCAACTTGAATTTCTAGAAGGTTCCATCTATGGAGCATTAGCCATGCTCGAGTACTAGACATGTTAATTTCCTCATTTAAGGCCCCCAACAATGCTGTAGACAGTATCACTACGTCTATGTTGAAGAGGGAGGCTATGAGAGATGAACTAACTGGCTCATTTCCACAGTGAGCAAGTCCAATAGCCAGGGCTCAACCCAGGGCTGCCTGCCCACCTCTCAGGCAAGAAAACTGAGTCACACTGTCCTCCTAGCTGGACCCAAGCCCAGCCTAGCCCAGGGTCCTAGAAGAAGAAAGAGACTGCTATGTGCCTCCTGGTCATCCACATCTTCCAGCTTCTGGGGTGAAAGCTGCTGCTCACCAGACTGGGGCAACCAGCCATGTGCTGGGTAGAAAGAATATGGCTCTGGATCCTTTGAGCCTCACCATGGTCACCAGAGTTTGCCTTCCTCCTCCTGCTTCTGCCCAATGTGGCCAAGATGTTGTTGTTGTTGTTATGTGCCCTCAAGTCGGACCTGACTCATAGCGACCCCTCCTTAGGTTTCCAAGACAGTATCATTATAGAAGTAGATTGCCCCATCTTCCTTCTGAGGAGTGGCTAGTGGGTTTGAACCGCCAGCCTTCTGGTTAGCAGTCAAGTGCCTTAGGTACTATGCTACCAGAGCTCCTGGCCAAGATGTAGGAGAGCTTTAATCTGGATGTCTTGGAGTAACTGAGTTTCTTAAAATTCATCTTCTCAACTTTTCTCCATGGGATGTGGGTTGATCCTACAGGAGCTTTCTCTTCACTCAAGTCCCTGAGCACTATGTACTTATAGGAATACACACAAACATGCCTGCTTACTATAGCCTGGGTCTGTGTGTATGCACACACTTGCAGATACACACGCACACATGTGTACAATCTACTATATCTGCTTAAACACACGTGCTGATTAGGTAAGGCATGCCATAAGGAGGCTCACCCCATGATGTATGCACTAGGGTCCCTGCCCAGACCCCAGTGTCATTCTCTACTCAGGCATCCTTCCCCTCACTGGGTCCTGCACTAGCCTCTGTGAGCTCTGTTCCAGTTAGTACCTCCTAGAGCCAGACCAAGCCCTATCAGCTGTGGGCAGCAGCCGGAGCATCAGGAACCATTTGTTGGGAAGGAGCTCCCAGTAAGTTACTTTGTCAGGCTGCTGCTCACAGCCTTCCCTTTCTTTCTCAGAGTCAGAACAGGACAGAACACGGTGGGCTCTCAGCTGAGGTTTCTCCCCTGTGGCCCTCAGAAATGCTGGAGCTACAGATGCACATGCTCAATAACCACTACCAGAGTGACAATCACATACACTGAGCTCACCCTGTGCCAGGCACTACACTAAGTGTGACAGACGCATCAACTATTTTTCAAAGCAATCTTATCAGGGGAGAACTGTGATTGTTTCCACTTTACAGCTGATGAAACGAAGGTCCAGAGCTGAAGCTTGGCCAGGGTCTGGCAGCTGAGTGCAACGCTAAGAGATGAACAAGTTCAGGCTAACTCCAGAATCTGAGTGCTGAACCATGCCCTAATGTAGACTGTTTGGCAGGGAGTGATGGGGCTGAGGTGAAAGGAGGTACATTCACAGTTCTCCTCCAAGAGATACTATTCATGGCCATCCTTAGCACAGCCCCACCCTCTGCCCAACTCTGCCTCAGGAGAGGTGGTCACAGGGTCATTTCCCCTGTAGAGAACCCAACATGTGGCAGCAGGTGCTGCTTTATTGATCTGTTCTGAGTGCCCACTGCCTGGCAGCCTCCAGGAGCCATCGACTCTTGCAGACAGGGCAGCCTGGCTGCAGAACACAGCAGTCTTCAGCTCTGCACTGCCAGAGGCACTCAGTAGAACAGTCATTTGGTGCAGGCAGTGCCTTAGAAGATGTCCTTTCTATGGGAACTTGGTGTTAGGCAACTTGGCTGGGGAAGGACAGAGGTCCTGTCCAGCCAGGGTCTCTGGCTCATGTGCATCTTGACTTGACTGATCATGGGGCAGGAGCCAAGGCCGGTCCATGTCTGTTTCTGTAGTCCTTGCTGGGTTCCTGATCTTAGAGGCACCAGCAAAGACTGGTGCCACTTATATTAGCATGGGTGTCTCTGGCTGAAGGAAACTATGGCCTAGAGACATCAAGAAGGCCTCTCGGCTCACATGTGTGGAGCTTGGACCAGAGCCTGGGCCCTTTTCTCTATCTCTTAGAATGTCAGTGGCTTTCTAAACCATGACAGCCTCATCAGTTTCCAAGGTTCATGCTGGGCTGAGGAGATATCCCTGTTGGGTCATCTCCTGGATGGATGGATGGGTTGCAGGTCTAGAGGCAGCTGCTCCAAGGGCCCCCTGCTCTGAGGGGAGAGGCTCACCCTGGCCTTGCCTCTTCTTGACTTATTCATCCTGGTGTCAGGCTCTCATGCTGAGAGCTGTGAGCTGTAGTGAGGTGAGGTGGGAATGACCACAGCCTCAAAGGAGCTCACAGTCCCTAAACTCATCCAGAGCATGGAATTCTACATCTCTAGCTACAAGGCCAGAATCTGAGAAGCCTCCTGATATTTGCCAATCTTCATCTGGAGATCAGAGGTGGACTCTCCCAAGTCCAGGGCTTAGGTGGCTGCCTTAACCCAAACACCCACTGCACCTCCCCCTCCACCCTTCCAGACTGCAGAGGCTCTCTGGGCTTTTTCTTGCATTGTGTCCTAAGGCGCAGAAAAGATTCAACTCCTGAGAATCACCAAACCCAGGATCCTCAAATAATAATGACGATAACAACAATAAAAAGAAAGTAGCTAATGCTTGGAACTCCATCCTTGTGATGGATAGGCCTGGCTATGCAGGCTCTGTTGATCCCTAAGCTCTGGCAGAGAGGGGACAGCAGAGGTCCTGGCAGGAAATAGCTCCAGATCCCACTGGCTGGGACCTGGAGTGGATGTGGCCAAGGCCTCAGTTTCTGAATAGCCACTGCCTCTTGAGAGGGGCTAAACAGGGTTCCCAGGTACTCCTGGGACTTCCTCAGGGAACAGTGAGGACAGCACTAACACACTGCACATACTCAAAACAGAGGTCTTTTCTTTGGCTTGCAGACTACAGAGGCCCCAAGCAGTCCAGTTTAGTGGGTTTAACCAGGCACTGGTAAGACCAGTGGTTCTCAACAAGGGCCATTTTGCCTCCAGAGGACACCAGACAAAGTCAGGAGGGATTACTGATTATCATGGCTGAAGGGTGCTACTACATCCAATGGGTAGAGGCCAGGGATGCTGCTAAACATCCTGCAATGCACAGGACGACCCTATAACTGGCTCTCAATGTCAGCAGTACTGAGGCTGAGAAATCCTGGGTTAAATCCTCATGCAATGGATTTCTGATTTTTACTATGGAAAAAAAAATGATAAAAGCAAAGAGAAAAATTCAACTAAAAAAAAAAAAGATTCTAGGAAATGAATAAGCAGAAGTGAGGCAATGCTGTAGGCAGATAGGGGCAGATAAGGGATGCTAGTAGGAACAGGGCTGTATTAGGGTGGTCCTGGAGGTGGGGCTGGGGTAGGTTGGGCAGGCCCCCAGGAAGGGAGAGGCCACGGGGCCTCTGTGGGGGAAGAGGCTCATCTTTGGCATGAGAAGGCTTTACCAACAAACAAGGGCTTATGTCAGGCTCTTGGGCTGGGGCATTGGGGCAAATAGAGCCTGCACTGCTTAGCAGCAATGTGTCCTTTAAACTATAACACCCTGTACTCGCTGTACAATGGCAGACCCTTAGAGCCTCCTCCAGGAGAAGCTGACTAGCTAGATATGACTAGTGGGGGCTGAAGAACTGATGGTCCACATCTCTCACCCACAGCCAGTTGGACAGCACCCATGGGAGAGCAATCTGGAGCAGAACCTGCAGGCAGCCTGCCAGGGCATTCTCGCATTGCCCTCATGCACCTTCTCTAATGGAGAGGAAGAAGAGGGCAAAGGCAGCTGGCAGAAGCTCCCTGATTGCTGGTGCCCAAGGTACCCCCAATTCTGGGAACCCTGGAAGGCTGGAGGGGTGCTGCTTGCTTGGGGGTTAAGTGGCTGGCAGCAAAGTAAACACACAGAAACAAACAAATAACAACAAAACCACATTTCCACCAGAGTTTTCCCTTCACTCTGGACCCCAATCATGGCCACAGAGTGCACTGGATGGAGGCAGGGGTTTCCCAGGGAAGGCGATTCCACTGGGAGAGCAAAACCAGTGGAAAAGGGAAGTCTTCAGACACAATTTAGAGGGGCTTCACTCAATTTCATTCATCAGCATAAAACACAGGGATGCAGCAGCACAAGGTAAACAGGACATATCCGCTGGTGGGGCCTGCTCTTTCCGTGTTAGAAGCAAGTTTAGAAAATAAATGAATAAACAAATAAACAAAAACCCCTGAAAGAAGAGAAGGAAAATGGGAGGACCTCCCCAGGCTGTTTTGGCTAGATTGCCTTTCCCTTTGACAACAACTCGGCCCTGTTTTCCTCTGCTGTTTTGGGATGCCCCTTCTGTATTGTCAGGTGCTGCTCTGGCTTTGGGAGAGTCACAGGAAACACCACAGTACTCTGTCTGACCCCTGCCACTCACTGCTGCTCCACCATAGGCCCTTCCCGGCGCGCAATGCATGCCCTGACCGTGGGTGTGCCCACCTGAGTCCTGCATGCATTGGGCTAGGAAGGTGGTTCTAGGCCGAGCTCTTACCCGCTTCTGAGAGGTCCCTTAGGGAGCTGCTGAGGGCGCTGCGTTTGAGTCCCTCGCTGCTGGCATAGCTGTCATCCAGGCAGGCTCGGCTCAGCGTCCCGTTGCCCGATTCCTTTTTGAGGCTGGAACACTGGGACATGCTGGGCCGCACAACACCCTTCTGCTTCTCAAGCTCGGCTGAAAGAGAGGGCAGGGCTCAGTGAGAGGATCATGGACCAGAGGGCAGCTTGGGGGAGGGGGCGGTGCAGGTAGGAGGGAAATGCTGAGGACCCCAGACCCTCTGCTTGGGGTTGGCACTGTATTGAACTACCATCCACTTGGAATGAGGAAAAAATAAGAGGGAAGGTTATTTCTGGGAAAGAGGATGCAGTGGTTGTCTTGGGCATAAGGAAGAGGAAGTAGATCCCAGGAATGGATGATGGAGGACCTTCTGGTAAAGACAGTCATTTTCCAGTCATGAGGTTTGACAAGCGGACAAAGACCTCCCTGCCTCTGGGACAGGAGATGGGCAAAGGCTAACCAGCTGTGCCACCAAGGGAGGGGTCAGAGGTGGAACACTCATGTGCCTCCAGGGAGATGTGGAATCAGAAGAGGCAGGGATTATAACTGTCATCCCCCCTCTTCATCCATGGGATCCAGGGGATGGCCACAACCAAGACCTCATAAGTTCCTGATGCAAGAAGACAAGTAAATAATAATCACACTAAACCTCAAGAAACTCAGAGGATCTTCTGATGGGCAGGACTGAGTCCCATCAGCCACCACCTGTCTAGGTACACCAAAGAGACCTCTCCCTTCTTTCCTTCCTCCATGCTCCCTTTCTGTGGTTGGGGCCCATGGACTGCCCTATCATGTGATTGTGTGGAAAGCTATAAAAGAACTGGGAGAATCTCTGTGTGGCTCAGGGAGTCACCTATTGCAGACTGCTGTCACAGCCACCAGGAAGGGAGACAAATGGCTGTGTCAGCTTGCTCTTCATCTTTAAGACACCTGGTACTTACTCTCTATTCTGTGCTTCTCCATCTCCTGCACTTCTGCAATGGATTCCCGCAGGTCATCAGTGAATTTCTTCCGGTCTTGAGGATTGGGCGCATTGAAGTTTATTAATACTTTAGTGTCTGTGCCAGGGACGGCAGATGTGAGCCTGATGCCATTGGGGTAGTCTACAAAGGAAAATGAAAGAAGGGAAGTGTGGGGTCTACCATATTCTATAATCTCCTTTCTGGTCAAGAAATAATAAAAAATCTCAATTCAGTATCTGCATGAGAGAAGTACTTAGGGTCCAAGCTCTTCACAGACTCATCCAACCAGGGAGGAAAGGTTGTAACAATGGCAAACTGAAGCGACCATGAAACAATCTCCATCTTCCCTACTTTGGTCCATACTTAAGTCAGGAGACAGAGTTGGTTAATCCTGAGGGAAAAGCCAGGGTGTTCATTCTCTAAAGGTCATGGTGCCCTTGACTTCAAGGTCCTTGGTGACTGCCTGGTGCTTATCATGGTGGCCTGATACTGAGTGCAGGAGGTAGACTGGGCAAAGGTGAGAGTCTTATCCAGTGACCTCAGAGAATTCTAAGACCAGAATTCTGAGCTCTGTTCTCTCCTAAAGGTCTCCAGACCCATGGTTCCCTTCTGATGTGCTGTGGGCACCTCACACCCAACACTTCCTATGCTGAACCCAGTATCTTGCTGCCATCACCCAGCTGGTGCCACCTCTGAGCCCTCAGCATCTTCTGGGCTTTGGTCTACTGATGTCATCTCTTTCCTTAGTGGGCAACACATGGCTGAACAAACAAGCCCTTCGGCAACTGGGTGTTTGAAGGTTCCTGGCCCCAAAACCAATGTCACCTTCGCTCAGACCTAGCTCAAGGCTGGCAGTCTCAAATGCCTGCAGGCCCAAGCAGGTATCCTAGATGGGGGACCTGGGCTAGGTGGGGCTGTGAGCACCTGGGGAGTGCTAGGGCAGGGTAGCTATGCAGCCCATCATCACCATGTAAGTATGTGGGCTCAGTGATGCTGAACCTTTTGGCTTATTAAGAGAAGCCTCGCTCTTTCTTTCTCTCTCTCTTACATACAAACACACACACACACACACACAAATCTAAATTTGGATGTGAAGCTTACTGATTTAAATGTTGGTTCAATGAATTTTTTTAAAAAATGTGCAAGCCAAATAAAACAGGACAAAGCCATGGCTGACCAATGTGCTGCCACAGTGAGACCCCTGGTATGAAGGTATTTCTTACAGAAATTCAAGGTCGGCTCTTGCTATCATTTAGTGCTGGGATCTGGCACCGAGGCCTGGGAGTTTAAAGATGACCTGGCACAGCCTCTGCCCTGGGGTTCAATCTATGACTAGCTCCCTGGGGGAGCTTCATTGCCACCACCTCAGTGAGCTCTTGACCCAGCCTAGGAGGCAGGGGTCATCACCACAAATGTAGAGTGGGGAATTGCTGGTCAGGACAATGGGGGGATGGCACCACCATCTCTGGTACTAGGCCCCTACATGCTAGTATGTGGAAAATCAAGGCAAGGCATGACTTCTGGCCTGGGAAAGCGTAGACAGGGCAGGGAGTGAGGAGATGGCCATGGTCAGGGCTCAGGATGCTCCTCAGGCATCCTGGCCAGGCTCATCATGGGCAGGGGAAAGAAGAAAGGTAGCTGTGGCAGCAGATGCATCTGCTCACCTGCCCCTCTGTAATGCTATGGACAGAGAAGGGGGTTCAAAGTCTAAATTCATGCTCTTAGTCCCTGTGTGTTGGGATCAAAGGCTGGTCAAGCAGCACCATGACAAGCTGTTCTGAGAAGGTGGGATACTGTGATGTCCTCTCAGGGCAGTCTTCCCCTCAGACCATGCAGGGCAGCAGGACCCTGTCCCAGGAGGGCTGACTTAGCCTAAAGCTCAAGAACCTCTGACCAGGAAGGGGCAAAGGAGAGAAGAAAAAAGGGGGCAGGTAGAGAAGGAGCAAGGTCAAAAGAAAAGGTCAGTGGGGGATATGAGCCAGCTCCCCTCCCAATTCCCCAGGCCCCATGACCCACTCACAGCTGAGGGGGTCCCAATAGCCCATAAAAATAAAGCCTTACTGAGCACTTACTAAGGAACTCTGGTGGTGTAGTGGTTAAGGCATTTTGACTACTAACCAAAAGGTCAGTGGTTCAAACCTACCAGCTGCTCTACAGAAGAAAAAGGGGGTGGTCTACTTCTATAAAGGTCTACAGCCTTGGGAACCCAATGGGGGTCACTATGAGTCAGAATCAACTCAATGGCAGTGAGTTTGGTTTTTAGTTTGAGTACTTACTACTTGACTGGTGCTCTCGGTTTTGGTTAATCTTAAAGGCAGCCCTATGAGGTAGGTACTACTGTCACTCCCACTTTATAGTCAAAGGAAACTGAGGCTCAGAGAAGTTAAATCAACAAGCTCCATAGTATTAAGTGGCAGAGCTGGGGTTTGGACTCAGGCTGTACTCAGGCTAGGGCTCAGCTCTTCACCTGTTCTGGGAGTTATGTTTGCATATCACCTATTTACTTAATGTTTTCCTATCAACATTATATTGAAATAAATCTATTTCTACCACAAATAAAAAATCGAATCACTTGCAATAAGCAGAGGTAATGGTAAGAGTAAACATAAGCATGGGGCAATGTTATTTAAGTCTTCCTAGTCACCAATGTTTATTGAGACCCTAGCCTGCCACCATTCTCTGTTAGCAGAGGGAACAAGAGCACCAGAGAAGCTGCATCAGATCCTCCCCTTGATGTCAGGAGGAACAAGAACTGTAAAGAAAAATGCTATCTCACCACGTGCATGACACTGTGCGATGCCAGTCTGCATGGCTCCCAGTCATCTCATGCTGGGGCTGCCAGGTCACACTTTGCAACATGCACACTTCCAGACCAGGGTGTGTTGGGGAGGGAGAGGCTAGGCAGGCCCTGAGGAGACTTACACTGGTTTTCGAAAAGCAGGACCTGCATGCCGTATAGGGAGAAGGACTGTCGGAAGCTGTACGTCACCGAGTTCTTCTTTTTCTGGAAGATCTTGGTGACCTGTAGGCAGCCAGAGACAGAGGCCTGAGCTTATCATCTGCAGTGCCCCAGAACAGCCCCTGGCCTGCCCGGATCATAGATCTAGGAGCTAGGGGTTTTCAGTGGCCCTGATAGCGACTATGGTCTCTTGCATGAGAACGCTCTCTGTATTTCAGCAGTCAGGAGGCCCCTGAAGCAGGGAAGAACCAGCACAGGGAAGAAGGCATGCCTATTCACACTGTGACTTAGATGCTAGTTTCTGTTCCTAAAAGTCCCCAATGCCATCCTGGCTGGAAGCAAAGCCCCACAGCCCAGCAGAGAGGTGGCAGGCACATTGCCGTGGATGGCCCCTTGAGATGCTTTCTCATAGCCATGCAAGGTGCACACACCTGGGGTTGGTACCCTGGTGGGCAGGGTGGGTGGTCAGCACTCAGTAGCAACAGGCTCATGAAGGGGAAGGCATCACTTCCTCTGTTGGAAACAACCCTTGCATGTAAGAGGCATCTGGCTGATGCCTAGCCCATGAGCCCAGATCCTGTGCCAGAGAACATGATAGTTCCACCTCTGCCAGGCCCTGTACCACATTCCTCTGCTGTGAGCCAGTTTGCAGATAAGGGGAGGAACTTTCCATCCTGGCAGCCACAATGAGTTGGCCAGCTTGGGCTGGGAGGGAAGGGAAGCTTGTATTTATTGAGTGCCCAATAAGTGCCAATCACCATGCAAGGTTCTATGTCTAAGACCTCATATGACCATTATAACTCCCTGAGAGCTTAATTTTATGAAGGAGGAAACAAGGCTCGGGCATTGGAAGTGACTTTCTCAAAGTCTCTTAATAAAGGATTTGGAGCCACAAATCTGAATTTTAACCTCAGTAGTCAGAGAAGACCATCTGGTTCTCACATCCAATCAAACATGTGGGGGATGGGGAAGGGCCTTCTGCAGGAAAGCCAACGGCCTGCAGGAAGGACAGAAACCTGAAGGACAAGCTGTACTGGGCATCCTTATCCCACCTGGCTAGTATCTGCCCACTTCTCTCTGGCAGCAGCTCCATTTCCCTTTGGAAAGCCCCTCTCCCACCTTCAGTCCATTAGCTGCAGAGGCTGGGCTGTAATCCAGGCTTAGCCAATAAGAAAGCACTGCACATCCATGGCCCCAGGGACTGGTTTAGGGAGGACACAGGCACAGGAGGATTAGTTCTGAGACAATTGCTGAAATTGTCAGGAAGAGACTCCCTCTTTGGGCGGGTTGCTGGGAGTTGTTGGGGCAACTTTCCCTTTGTGGACAGAGCCTGCCTGAGTATGGAGCCCATGGACAGGAAGAGCCTGTGTAGCTGAGAGACAGAGATGATTAGAAGGAGGCCTGCTGACATTGTGTGAGCCTCTGGGAACAGCTGGGGCTGAAGCCAGAAATCTCCTCGGGTCTCTTCCATGAGCCTATGAAGTTCCATTCTCATTTGTATCAGTGAGAGTTTGATTTCTGTCCATCATAACCAAAAGATTCTGGGCTAATACAGCCTCTACGTCTACCCCTGTGTACACATTTACCCTGGTGCAAACACAGAGCCAGTCTCCTGACATGAAGGCTTTCCACCCACAACACCCTGCGGACGAACCACATACCACCAGAAGATCGTTAAACAGGAAGATTTCTCGCTGGTGCAGTCCAAGTTTCTGGGGTTTATTTGGATCTGGAACCTCAAAGAGCCGGCAGTAGCAAACCAGCCTCCGATGGGGCAGAGACAGCACCTGTGCAGGGAGTGGGAGAGAAAGTTCTGCCATCAGTTGCTCAGCCCACTTCTCTGGGGCCTGGGCACACCCTCTATGAGGCCACAGCAAAGGTGCCTAGCTTTGCATGCTAGAAACCCAGGCTGGGTCCTCTTGCATTTGAAATGCAATTTGAAAAGGATTCCTCTTGCAAACCAGGCAAAGAAAGACATATATTTTTTGGCTCATAATGATTTTCCCCACTCTGTTCTCAGGAACTACTATTTAAGATTCTCTAGCCATGCTCTCCTGAAGTCCTGTGCTAAGTGCCTGTTTCTGGTAAGACAGGCTTTCAGTTTTTTTAGGCAGGTAACAGGCTTCCTACAGTTTCATCTCACGTGGAACTCCTGAGCCAGAAAGGACTTCTTGTTTTGTGAGTCCCTATAATGAGCCAGCCACACACATTAGCCTGTTTAGTGTATGGAAGAAAATTTTCTAGAGTTTACTCTAGACGAGGAAACTGAGGCACAGAGAGGTTAAGCAACTTGCCCTCAATCACAGAGCCAGGGCTTAGTCCCAGGGACCATGACTTCTCTTCTACCAAGCCTCCTCCTAAAAGACATCAATGGTTTTGATGTCTGAAAGAGCCATCCACATCATGAGCCAGGCCCACAAAGCTTTGTGAGACCTGGCTGCTCTAACCCTACAATCACCCAATTTCCATGATGCCTGTCCTTGTCCTCGCCTTGCCCTCTTACACCTGACCCCAAAATGCCCCTTGTGGGTTCAGGGGAACCATCCACCTTCACTTTGCCATAGCTGAAGAAGCTCTGAGGCCTGAATTAATCAGTTGGTGTCTCAGAGGCCCAGGCCTGACTGCTGGGAGCTCCAGTCTCATAAAAAGACAACTCCAATGGGAGAAATGCATGGCAGCTGTGAAGGGAGGAAGGCAGAGCTAACTCTGCCTGAGGCTGGTGGGGTTCCCCAGGACTAAGTACTTTTCTGGAAGACAAGACAAGGGGTGGGAACTGTGACAAACATTTTGGCGGTGCAGGGAGCAGCACCATTTGGTACTGTGGGAGCAAAAGGGTAAAGGAGAGGGCTGTGGGACACTGTTATGTAGAGGCAGCCAAGGGCCAGAGCATGGGTGGCTTTTAAGGATCTTGGACTCTTTCTATGGGAAGCTGGTGAAGGAGAGGATGATTAAATGTGTTTTGCAATGCTAACTCTCTGTGTGGGGTGGGGTAGGGGGTGTGGGCTGTTGGTAAGGGATAATGACAGACAACAGGTGACATGGAAGAGACTGCCAGACTGGAGGAACATGTGCTCCAGGGTGAGCAGGCAGAAGCTGTCAGGGTGGTGGTGATGCAATAGGCTTTGGGGTGAAAAGAGGGAGAGGCTGTGGGAGTGAAGGCCTGGAAGTGCAATCATCCACCAGCCATCTGCCTCAGTGCAGGGTCCTGGGGCCCAGGGACAGGGAAAGACTCTTATTAGCTCCTGGGAAGCTTTCCACTAGAATGCATAGCCTTCCCCATGTGTTCTCTGGTCCTGCAGGAATTTGAGGCTAGGGTAATTATGAAAATCAAATTTCTTATCACTCTGGAAATTATCTCTAGCAGCTAGAACTTTGGAGATGGGAGCCCGCAGTCTCCCAAGGGCAGTACATCAGCCAGAACATAAGCGTAGAGAAATACTTACACAGCCAAGCCCATGGTGAAGGGATCCAATCTATGTGGGAAAACAGGAGACAAAAGGAGATGTTAATGTTCCAAAAGGAGATGTTAATGTTCCAAAGAGCTCTGGTGGCGCAATGGGTAAGGCCTTTGGCTGCTAACCAGAAGGTCAGTAGTTCAAACCCACCAGCTGCTCTGTGGGAAGATGAGGCAATCTACTTCCATAAAGATTTACAGCCTTGGAAACCCTATGAGGATCGCTGAGTCAGAACTGACTCAATGGCAGTGGGTTTGGTTTGGTTTAATATTCCAAAGGGTGTATACCTGGGCCCTGAGGAACTAAGGGGTGGCAATGTCCAGTTAAAAAGCAGCAGCCCAATCCCCATGGCATCCTCCCTTTCCACAAGGCTTGTGAGCAAGTGGGAGACTGGCTGGCAGAGCTCCAAGGGCACTTTGAGGGAACTCCTGAGGTCACCAAGGAAGCCCACTGGCATAGACAGGGCTCAGAGTGGAGCCTGGCTACCATCCGTCCTATGACCCTTCTTTTCAGATATAATCCTGAGTAAATGTCCCATTATTCCCCAAAATTAGGAGCCACTAAAGGAAAAATAAAAAACCCTGAAATAATGCACAAACCCTGCCTGGGAAGGGCAAGGCTCTAGGTGGTGTGGGGAATTTAGAGTGGTGTTATAGTCACTGCTGGGCCAGCAGAGCTAGCCAGGGTCGCACTGGGGGAGGGGGTTGTGCCTCCCCACAGAGATCTTCTGATGATGCCAGGGCCTGCCACGTACCGGCTTCTTCCCCACAATGAGCTTTTCCACCTTCTGCACCTGAGACACATGGTCCTCATTGGTCTTCAGCTCCCGCTTGCGGATCCGCTCATAGATCCCAATGAGCATCTCCCGGGGAATGTCCTCACCGTCATCCACACCTAGAAGGAGACCGTGGCCAGGGGTCAGGTTGGGGCTTGGATGGCTATGACTGCTCAGCCTTGTCCCAGCCTCATCCTCTGACTTACCAGTTTCTAACCATAACAGAATAGGGATCTCTTTCACCATCCTCAACAGAACCAAAGGCCTTCCAGACACACAGGTATTGAATTACAGTCAGTCAATCACAAATGCTCTCAGAATCCCTCTACTAGGAGCAAGGCTAGCACATCTAGCCTCCACCTGGACAAGCATGGGAAGCTGCACTCTCTTCTAAGTTGTGTTGAGAGAGCTTTGTAAATATTGCCTTGCTTAATCCTGACCACAGCCCTGTGAGGCAGGCATAACTGTCTGCATTCCATAGATAGGAAAACTGAGGCTCAGAGGAGGGGTGGGGTGGGAGCAGCTATGAAGCACAGGGCTTGTGAGTTCAGGCTGTGACAGACCTGGAACCAAATTCTAGTTTTGTCCCTTACTAGCTGTGTGATTGAACAGGTGACTGAGCCCCTTAGCTTGGTGCTCTTGTCCAAAAACAGTCACCAAGAGCACCGAGTGCTTCACAGAGCTGCTGTGAGGAAATGGAAGCATGCAGTATGCTTCAGCACCTGGCACTGTGTGAAAGTACAAGAAACCTCAGCTGGTGCTGCTGCTGTCCCACATCACAAAGGCAGAAATAGGGGCCAGGACTTGAACTCAGGTAGCTCTAACTCCAAGCTCATACTCTTTCTTGTACAGCACACCTAACAGCTGCTGAGAACAGCAACTCAACCCTACTCATCAGAGAAATGCAAACTTTTATCCTAGGGAGATCTGCCTGGAAGGCTTGGTAACAGGCTCTGTGGGGAAATCAGTCCTCCCACATATAACTGGTGTGGTGGAGAAAGGATCAACCCCCATATGGGCGATTTGGCAATGCCTATCAAAATTATGAATTCAAACACCCTTTGGTCTACTGATTGCATTTGGGGAATTTATCCCATGGGAAATGATACACATTCAAGGTTATTTATTGAAGCATTGGCTCCAAATAGCAAAAGACTGGAAACAAACTCTTTTACCCATTAACACAGGACTGGTTAAGTAATCATTATACATCAGTATGACAGCAATACCATGTACCTGCCAGATAGAATGCAGAAAGCCACAGTGAACCAATACGGAAAATTTCTCTTAGATTTATGAAATGAAAAAGGCAAGATGAAAATGTTCTATTATATATGCTCTACTACAGTAAAATAAAATTAAGTGACATACAATGGGATATTACTCAGCCATATAGAGAAATGAAGTCCTGATGCATGCCACAACATGGATGAACCCTGAGGACATTATACTGGGCAAAGTCAGTCACAAAAGGACAAATACTGTCGGTCTCATTTATATGAAATAAGCAAATATATAAAAACCAAAGATTATTAGTGTTTATCAGGGTGGAAGGGAGGGGAAAAGGGAAGCTTTTGCTTAGGTGGCATTGAATTCATATTAATGGTAGTAGAGTAATTGGGAAAGGATAGCAAGAATGGTTGCACAACTTGGGAATGTAATCAGTGTCACTGAATTATACATGTAGAAATTGTTGAGCTGGATTATGTTTTGTTGTATATATTTTCACAATTTTAAATAAAAATAAAAAAATAAATGGAAAAAAAGCAAGGTGCAAAATGTTGTTGTTGTTATGTGCTGTCGAGTCAGACCTGACTCATAGCAACCCCTCCTTGGGTTTCCGAGGCAGCATCACTACGGAAGTAGATTGCCCCATCTTCCTTCCAAGGAGAGGCTGGTGCGTTTGAACCGCCAGCCTTCTGGTTAGCAGTCAAATGCCTTAGGCACTATGCTACCAGAGCTCCTAGGTGCAAAACAGAGAGGGTAAAAACTACCATGCATATTTGTATTTGGAAAGTCCAGAAGGATACGCTCTTCTGGATTTTCAACCACGTAAGGTAATACCATTTAAAAATAATTTACAGATAAGTTAGGATTGGACATGGCGAATGGGGAATGAAACTAAATGTGCATGTTATGTTTAATGTAAAACAAGCTTTTAAATATAATAATAATAATAAAAGAATACTGTATGTCTGGCTTCCATACTGGTGACCTATCCCTATTCCACCCATCCTTGAGTCCTCCAGGGGCCCTCTTGCTACTTGGTACCTTCTGGGAAAACAACTGGAGTGAGAGATTCTAGACAAAGTGTGTAAGTGTGTGGGTGCGTGCATACACATAAGGAGGAGGCTAAGAAGCATCCTTGATAAACAATAAACTGGACACCAGCTGTCATGGGAGACCAGGGTCCTGCCCTGCCCAACAGTCACTTGCTGTGGGTGTGGCTCTACAATCAGGAAAACTTAGTCAAAGTCACCCTTAGGCTCTCCCCGGGTGATAATGGTGCCAGTGTCCTCGGGCATCTGGGGTCATGAGGATGGAAAATACGCACCTGTGAGCACCAGAATCAGGTTGAGCTCAGGAAGGAGATGCTTGCAGAAGGGCCTGGGGCTGGCTCATGGCAGGCAACATCCTCCCCAGCTCCTGCTGAAAGTGAGGGCCTATATGTGCATGTGTGTGTGTGTGGGGGGGGGGCAGCATCAAAGGGCTACCAATAGCATGCTCTCTCTTCCTGAGATATATTTGCCATTAATGAGGTTTCCAGATGCCTCAGTTTTCCATAGGAACTATACCAAAGATCTGACCTACCTTGTATCGCTTGCAATACCCCCTAAGAACCAGCAGATAACTGCATGCCTTGAATGTTTGGAAGACAGCTCTAAACCACACCCCAGCCTTTTCTGTTCCCATTCCACTCAGATCTTGGAGCCAAGCTCAGGGAAGGGGCAGCCCTGCCATCTCCTGAGGGACCTTCTCTGCTTCCTGAGGAAACATCTGGGGGTTCCACTGGCTGCTGTTATGATGGTGTCCACCAGCAGGGGGCGGGCAAGGATGGGTAAAAACATCAGCAGGAAGCAGTCTCCAGGGGAGTACCTGGAGTTACTCCACAGGAGAACCATCCTGCCAGTGCAGATGTGATGACAAAGCAACTTGTTTGTAAATATAAAGGAAATAGGTGAAAAATTTAAGCAGCTCAGTAAGCCAAAGAAGTTGGACTTGATTCAGTTTTTTTTTTTTTTTAAAGATGTTATAGTTTCTAAATCTCTAGTCTAGTCTGTGGTTCTTTTTCAATCTACCCTCTGCTCTTGCAGCTTGTTTACCAAGTAGGGGGACACAAAACCCCTCTTCTTCCTTCCAGGGATCCCAGGGGTCCACAAGGAACATGATGTTGGCTAACATGGAATTTCTAGGGAAGATGGCCATTCCCTTCTCAATTCCTTTTCTATCTTCCCTTTTGCTGCCCATGTCATTAACACCTCTCTCTAGCCTCCCTGCCCCTATGGGGGAGAGCGAGTAGGCTTTGGCCTTAGCACCAAAGCCAAGAACAGCATCCAAGAGAATTCAGGAGTCATGCTTTCTTTTCATTGGATTTATCAATGTCTTCTATGTATGGCAAATGCTACTGGCTCTCCATTTACAACGATAGTATAAGGTTTCCTTCTAAAATAAATACATCTAAGTACAAAATCAAAAAGGCCACTTTAGGGGAACATCAAGGGCAGAGGCTACCTGTTGGGCAGCTATCTTGTGGGTGTGTGGTCTGGCCCCTGGCTGCTGCTCCGTGATTGCTCTGAGCACTGATATGCAGTGGCATGCCTGGCTCAGGTCTCCTTGGCTCCCCACAACTCTGGGGGCAGGTTTCCACTCCTTCCTGTCCTTCATGGGCTGGTTTCCTGCCTGCCATACAGCACTTTCTTGTCTCTGCCTTTGCTGATCCCTTGATAGTGAATGACTTGCCCTCCACCTGCACTTGTCAAGACTCCTGTTCATCCTTCAGGAATAAACTAAAGCATTTCCTTCCCCATGAGGGTAGTCACCTGAGACTTGGCTGTGTGTGGCCCTCAGTGCACCCAGATGCCCCTCCAAGACAGCACTTGATGGTTTTGCAGTTACCTGTGTTGTGTGCACTCCTTTGAGGACTAACACCCACCAAATGCCCCTCTGTACAGATGCTAAGTACACAGGAGCTCGTTAGCCCTGCTTGACCGTCTTCTCCAGCTCTCCAGAAGGGTAAGACTCATGTCTTATTCACTCTTGGCCCCCATGTCCCACAGGTACCTGGCTGAGTGTGGGTGCTAAGAGGGTGTTCCTGCCCAAGCCTGGAGGCCCAGGGGACAGCTCACCTCGGAGGTTCTTGACAAAGTCCTCTAGCTTCATCTTACGCTCGGGCTTGACGTTGGGGCTGTACATGTCCGTGTTGAGCAGGATGATGGCAAAGGCCAGGATGAATATGGTGTCTGGGTTCCGGAACTGCCGCACTACCCCGGGGTTGCAGATGCAGTACCGCTGGCTGGGGGCCGGGGGAGAGGAGGAGGGTCAGGGCCACTGCGGCAGGCAGTGAGACTGCCTCCTCACTCATGAGTAGCCACCATGGCTCGGGCCCTGGCACTCACCAGCTAGGCAATCACCCGAGGCTGGTCACGTCCCTCTGAGTCTCAGTTTCTGCATCTGGTAAATGAGGATAACCCCTGTGTGCATCTTATAAATGGGGATAGCTGCTGTCTGGCAGAGAGGAACCCTACTAACAATTTGCCCCTTCTTACTTTAGTTACAGCCCCACCTACCTCATATTTTTACCTGCTCAGGATGAGGACCACACTTTCCAGTCTCCCTTGGAAATAGGAGTGGCCATGTGTCTATGTGCTGGCCAGTGGGATATGAGCAGATGCCACGAGATTATGCCCTAAAAATGCAAGCATTTGCCCTCCACTTTTCTCCCCCTGCTCCACTCCCAGCTGGAATGGGGATGTCATAATAGGACCGCCATCTGAAACCTTGGGATGAAGAAGCCCAGGCCTCCTCCACACCAGCTCAGAGAGAAATGCATTTAGTTGCATTTGGTTTAAACCACTGTTACTATGGGATCTTTGTTACAGCAGCTGAACAAACAGCCTCACTAATATACCTCCTATTCAAGTCATCCCACTTTCTGTTCCCACGTTTGGAACATGCTTCCCTGCCCCTCCAGGGCCCCCTCTCCTGGTGACCTCTTGCAGGGCTGAGTGGAAAGGGGCACAGACAGAGAAAAAGAACCAGGATGGAACTCCGTGACTTAGGCTTAGGAGGAACAAGCAGCAACCATTAAACTCAGAAGATGTGGAGCTCTGATTCAGTCTATCTTATCCTTATTGCTGCCCTTCTAGGAAGCTTTACTGGGAATAAGTGGCTGAATGCCCCTTCCCAGGGCCCTAAGGTTATCCTTGCTCCTTCTTGGCCCCAGAGGGCAGGGTCAACAGCTGGCTCATGGCTCACCCACCTCCTGCTGTCCACACCTCACACAGAGCATGGAGACTCTTTCCTGGCCAAGCTATACATATTCACTAAATGAGTGACTATATGACAACCAGTGGCGTCTAAGGCATTTGACTGCTAACCAGAAGGCTGACGGCCACCAAGCCACCAGCCACTCCTTGGAAGAAAGATTGGACAATCTACTTCCATAGTGCTACCGCCTCAAAAACCCAAGGAGGGGTCGCTATGAGTTGGACCCACTTGATGGCAGTGAGTTTGGTTTAGGAGCTCTGGTAGCATAGTGCCTAAGGCACTTGACTGTTAACCAGAAGGCTGGCGGTTCAACCCCACCAGTCACTCCTTGGAAGGAAGGTTGGGCAATCTACTTCTGTAGCGATACCACCTTGGAAACCCAAGGAGGGGTCACTAGGAGTTGGGTCCAACTCAACGGCACATAACAACAACAACATATGACAACAGCTGGTATGGACTTCGAGTCACTATGTACCAGGCACTGGACTAAGTGTGTCTACTTATCCCAAATCATTTCGTCCTTCCACTATTCTCTAGAGTAGGTGCTATTATTATCCCCATTTTATAGGTGAGGGAATGGGGCACAGAGAAATTAAGTAACCAGAGCAAGATCACACAGCTGGTAAGTGGTGGAGTTAGTATTTAAGCCAGGCCATCTGACTACGTAGCTTGTGTTGAGTCACTATGAGAGATGGCCTCTTGTGGATAAATAAATGAACATGACTGAACTCATGAATAAACTGATGGCTAATTTGGGAGCTCTGGTGGTGTACTGTCTAAAGCATTTGACTGCTAACCAGAAGGCTGGCAGTTCAAACCCACCAGCCACTCCTCGGAAAGAAGACTGGGCAATCTACTTCTGTAGAGATACTGCCTCAGAAACTCAAAGAGGGGTCACTATGAGTCTTAAACAACTGGAAGACAGTGACTTTGGCTTTGGAATGAGAATTTGGAGGAAGACAAAGGCTGTTCAAAAACCTGGCTCCAACACTAATGAGCAGTCGTGACCTTGGGCAAGCCCCTTAATTTCAATTTATTTCTTCATCTGCAAAATTCAAAATTAGGCTAATAAGTGTCCCTTCCCACCCTCCCGTCCATGCCCTGTAAGGAGCCAGCACAGTGCCGAGCATTCAGGAGGGGCTGCTATGATCACTCCCAATGTAAAAGGCATGGACACCAGGCTCTGCTTGGGTGAAAGAAATGAAGGGGGATTCAGGCTTTCCACAGGCTTTTGAGCCAGAAGCACTCTTCTCCCCTATTGCCCTCCCACCCCACAAGAGCCCCCAACCTGAAGGCCTCGATAAGCCGCTCCACTTTCTGTGCCTCCCCCTGGACGCGGATGTGGGCTTGGAATTTCCTGAGGGCTTCATCCAGCTCCATGGCTGAAAAGTCCATCTCGTCCACCACGCAGCTGGAACAGATATGGCCATCAGCTTCTTCTTCCTCTTCCCACAGAGCCCCTGAGGCCTCTGCTGCCACAAGGTGCTCACAGACCCTGGCCTTCTCATGAGGGGAGCTACCCAGGGGCCCTTTTGTCAGGAAGGGTCCCGCTCAACTTCCTCCACCCAACAAAGCACAACACTTTAGAATCAAGCTGAAAGATCCCCAACGTTTCAGGGAGGTCCACGAATCCTGTGAAGCTGTAGGAAAATGTTTGGGCTTATATTTATATGTGTAGTTCTTTACTGAGGGGGCCAGAGCTTATGGTTAGAAGTGACAAATTCATCCTTGATAAGGGTCCCTCTTGCAAAACAGACATCTTTAAGCACAGAGGTTATATGGAGGTTTATTTTTAAATCATGTAACCCACATTACTTCACTGAGTCTTCTCTATTCAGTGAGACAGGAAGGGGTATTCTCCTGTTTATAGAAAAGGAATAGGAGGCTCAGGGCACTGGGTTTGTGGCCTCTCTCGCTGGGGCTGTGAGCTTGGCTCACAAATTGAAGCTGCCCAGGCTGTTGCAGAATGTGGGGAAGATGGGGGCAGAAACCATGCAAGACTATTTGCACCACACCAGCAGCTATCCTTAGGGTTGCCTGGTGTGGTGGATTGAGGGGAGTCTCACTACTTCCTGAGGCTGCTGCTATTTTCTGATCCAAGGAGAACAATACACGGATTTCCCGTGGACCTAGAGCTAGCTTTGAGGGGGTGGAATCATGCAGTAGTGGTTGCAGTGAGGCGGAGGTGGATAGACCAAGATAGTCTTAGGCCATTGACTCGGTAAGGAGCTAATCTGTTATTCCATGAACATCTCTTTACTCTATGGTTTTTGGGGTGGCAATCATCAGATCAACAATGCAGCAGGATTTTCCAGATGCATCAGGAACGGGAATGTTGAGCAGGGAGAAAGCAAGCCTAGGCCAGGCACGTTTGGCCAAGGGTGGCATGGGCATTTTGCTTGGTGCTGCCACATGCCCGCTGCCAAACTAGCTCTTAACAAAACCCCCAGCTCACTTAATCTCCATGTGTATGTCTGAGTATGCTCATGTGGGGGTGCAAGTGTGCAACTGAATGCACCTGTATGTATGTGAGTGATTGTAGTGGGGGCAACCCCCTTAGTCAACCCCTCCCTACCCTGGAGCCTTGCTCTCTTCACTTGTGAAACAAACAAGGCAACAGCAACTGCCCACCTCCTTCCAGGGTAGTCTCAAAGATGGAACAGGGCACATGTGGCCAGGCTCTTGAGCACAGCACTCATACTGCATGAATACGTTCTCCAGAGATGTGCTGCTTCTGGGGGAGCCCTCTACCCTCTCTGAGCCCCAGCTGCTCTCTTACTGGTGATATGCATAAGAATCCCTTCCTCACCAGCCCCACGAGAGAGCTGCAGTAGATGGATGGAGAAAGGAACTGCCAGTATTAATTGATGATTAACCCTTGACTCTGCTTCAATGCTTATTCCTGGCCTTTTGGCCTGGAGTCACCATCGCAGGGTATAATTGCCTGTGTCAACTCTGTTTGGCCAGAAACATCCTCAAAGACAAGGCCTGACCCCCTAACCAAGGGAATGTAAGACATCTGTGGGAAGCTATCCTCCTAGTCCCACTATGGGGCTGCTGAAAGAGTTCCCATGAGATACTGACACAGGCCTTGAGACTCAGAGGTTGCTCAGTAATGTAATTATCCTTCTGTGGTGGCTGCTGTACTCAGGAGAGGGTAATGAGGACAGGACTTGAGGTGTAAATGGAGAGATTTAGCACTGATCCTGGGCAGAACTTAAGAATGGTAAAGCCATTCTTAAGAGCTGGGAGCTGAGAGTGTCTGGTCACCAGCTCTCTGGGCTGGTGGGGACATGAGGCTGTGAGGTGAGTTTGGATGATCACTTTCATATCTTCCAGCTGGGATGGGAAAGAGAACGAGGCAGGGGCAGAGCTGTGGGCATGGTTCAGGATTGAGCTCTGGGAATGGACTGCCTGCCCTAGGAAGGCATTAGGGTCAGAGTGGCCTGGCACCCCTCCTGTCCTCCCTGGTGGCAGGGCAGGCACAGGTGATAGGCTATCAGCCTATACTGAGAAACATAGCCTGGACAGGGGGCAAAAGCCCTACATCTTCAGGCTTTCCCCTCCTGTGAATGTTGCCACATGCTGCCGCATGAAAGTGGGTCAGCAAGGGGATGATTCCCTCAGTGCTTTGTTGGACTGACTGTGCTGCAAAGGATCCAGACTCTTGAGGGTATATGTTGGCAGAGGGAAGGAGGGCAGGCAGGGTCAACGTGTGTAAGACATGGGCTGCACCTGATGGATGCCACGTGTGCATGGCAAAGTATGAGTGTACAACACAAAGTGTGTGAGGCATCTTCGAGTGTGTGTCTAGGAACGAGGAGGAGATGGGGAGTCCATACAGCAAATGGCATGCCTAGTACTTTGTGTGTGACTATGGTCTATACAAAGTTCCAATGGTGAGTGTACAGGGGAACAGAGAAGGTAGGACAGGGTGCTGCATGTGAAGCACTGCACATGAAATGTTTGTGTGTGACTACATACTGTATGAGTGTGTATGGCATGAGGGGTGTATGAGTCTGTGTGCTGTGGTAACATGTACCCTGTGTGAGCAAAAAGAGGTCACAGGGCCTATGACAGGTTTGCCCTGCATCCTAAAACTCACTCAAGCACATCACGGTTGAACTGCTTCTGCCGATTGCCCAGGAACTCGCCAATCATCTGCCGGCTGAGGCCCTTGCGTTGCAGCAGGAAGTGGGCCACCCCCACTGGCGTGTCAGGCACGAAGCCACGTTCAATGAGGTACTGGACTCCCTTCTCAGGCTTCCTAGGGGTAGAACAAAAACAGCCTCAGCCTCGGTGACACAGGCCCCCAGTTCCAATGCTCATCCTGTAACTCCTGCCTAGGTCTCTGCCTGGCTCCTTGGGGTCTCTGTTTGGGTGATCAAGGTTTCCCTCCCTGCCCACCTGTACTCACCACCCTTTAACACTCATTCCTCTCATCCACAGCATTCAAGGCTCTCAAGGCACCTCTCCTTGTGGAGGTGCTGGCCCAAAGACGCCAAGCTCACACCATGGGGACAGACTGGAGCAAAAGCCTTCACACAGAATCGCCTAGAACCTACACCAGGTATGAGCATGGACTTGCTGTCCTGAGGTGGGGCTGAGCAGCTCAGAAGCGCTTCTGTAGTACAGCTGCCCCTCACTGGGTTGTGCACACCCTCCTCTGTTGCCTGCAGCCCCAAACATCTTCTAATGCATGTAGATGATCTCCCTTCCCAGCTGAACTCAATGCTCTGTTTTGTGTAGAAGCCCATAGGCATAGGCTGGTAGGTGCTGCACCCCAATTCAGATAGGAAATAATGAAAACCACCACCATCAATATCTACTGAGCACTTATTCTGTGCTGGTCAATGGTATAAGCATGTCACACACACTAATTTATTTAAGGCTCACCAACTGCCTCTGGGGCCAGTACTTGTGTTCCTGTGATGGTCAGAAGTATACACTCAGGAACCAGGCAGCTGGGTGAGCCTGGACAAGGGCCTTAATTTCTTATTGTGGGTTGGACTATGTCTCCCCCTAAAAGATATGTTGACTTCCTAACCCCTGTACCTGTGAATGAGACCTTGTTTGGAAATAGGGTCTTTGCAGATGTAATCAAGTTAAGATGAGGTCATACTGGAGTAAAATGGGTTCTAATCCACTATCACTGGTGTCTTTGTAGGAAAAGGAGAGACACAGAGACAGACACAGGGAGAACTCCATGTGATGATGGAGGCTGAAATTGAAATGACAGATGCATTTATAAGCCAAGGAACACCAAGGATTGCCAGGAACTAATCCTTGGAAGAGGCAAAGATCGATTTTTTTCCTTGCGACTTCACAGAGAACACAGTCCTGCCGATACCTTGATGTCAGACTTCTGACTTCCAGAACTGCTGTTGTTAGGTGCCGTTGAGTCATCTCCAACTCACAGTGACCTTATACACAACAGAACAAAACACCACCTGGTCCCACACCAGCTCCATGATCCTTGCTATACTTGAGCCCATCGTTGCAGCCACGGTGTCAATCCATTCCATTGAGGGTCTTCCCCCCTTTCATTGACCCTCCACCTTACCAAGCATGACATCCTTCTCCAGGGAATGGTTTCTTCTGATAACATGACCAAACTAGTATGTATGTATGTATGTATATACACACACACACACACACACACA